GCTACCTGTGACGTATTCAATATGCCATAAACAGTAACGACAAGTCACAGAATTTGTAGTGAGACATTACTGGTGCCTGCTCGAGCAAATCGATGAACAACGGGAGGACAGTGCTACAGTGCTATAGTGCTGATGTGTCAAAAAAGATGTTGAGCGTAACTGGGTGCTGAAAGGAGGTAAAGTGATATGCATGATACCCTTTCAGTAACAGTATTGCAAGACACAGTGCCTAAAAGAATAAAAGGGAGAGAAAGAGAAGTGTCTAAATGTCTGCTGTAGAGACAGTTGGGAGGGAAAACAGATATTGGTTGAGGGAAATTTACAATGGTTAAGGGATGGGTGTTGGATCATTGTAGGACTGAAACTCACGATCACCATCAGGACCATCCTGTTGTTCGTTGATTTCGCGAGCAGGCCCCAGTAATGTCTCCTTTGTCCTAGCCCTGAGATTTTTAAAAAGTGCCATATTCAAGGCTCTTTCAGGCTTAACTGAAACTTGACCATGAACAACTTTGTAACTGTATATCATGGTGATTCAATAAAAGACAAAAAAAAAAAAGGATGTTGAGTGTATAGTACCAGTAAATTCAGCAGTGTGCACATCACTTATTGTGGCGTGCAGTGCCATGACTGTAGAAAAAATATCTAATTGGAGTGATAATAACAATTAGGGAGAAAGGAAGTGAATCTTTTGTGTATAGGAAACTCATTGTGTTTTAAGTGTTGTGAAGAGAGAGAAAGAAAGAATAAGAGAAAAATGAAGGAAGAAAAAGAAGAAGACAGGAGGAAGAGAATGTGGGGAGTTTAAAGAAGAAGAAAAGAAGAGAAAAGAAGAAGAAAGGGGGAAGAGAATAAGGGTTCTAGTAGTTTTTCTGCCCGCTTCCCTCCTTCTCTTTCTATTTTTTTTTAGAACACCCTGTGATTCTTGGGGGAATTATGTGATTATGTGGGTGCTGGGGATTGAACCTCTGCTCCCAGATGCAAAGCATGTGCTCTACTCCTTGAATAAACTTCCTGGTCCTTCCTTTCTTTAGAAAGAAAAATAGGAGAATGTACAGAAGAATAGCATTTTGTGGTAGGACAGAGGGAAGACTATGTAAAGCAATATCCCAAAGAAGATAAAATAAAAATAAAATATTTCATTATGTCAAGGCATGAAACAAACCAGGAAAAAAATAGTACAACAATTATTTACAAATCATTCTTTTCTAAATCCCCATTTGGGGTTATAGACTCAGAGTGATTTGCTTCTTAGACTCTGAATGAGAAAGTTTAGGGGTTCACAAAGAAGTTGTGGTTTGTTATTGACTCCCAGAAATTCATTACTTCCTAAGGGCTCTAAAGTGATAATCATATATGGCAGGAAATGTTGAGAAAACATTAGTAGTTTGATTTTCATTCTTAAATCTCATATTTTTTTCGGGAATAAGATAAGAGTCACTTGATCCCTGATCTGTTTGGTCTTGATCCCATATATGATGGGATTCAGCATAGGTGGAGCCAGAATGCAGACACAAGCTAGCAGGACATGGGTATGGGGTGGGATGTGACGTCCAAATCTCTCAGTGAGGACTGAGAAGATACCTGGTCCGTAAAAGAGGAGGATAACACAGACGTGGGAGCCACATGTGTTGAGAGCTTTGTGACGAGCATCTCGGGATGGGATGTGGAAGACAGTGTGAAGAATAAGCATATATGAAACAAAAATTAGCATAACATCTAATGTCACTGTTGACAATAATACAGAAAACCCATACCAGATGTTTACTCGGATGTCATTGCAGGCATATCTGGCCAAAGCAATATGCTCACAAGCAGTGTGAGGAATGATGTTACTTTTGCAAAAATTCAGTCTTTTCAGGAGAAATATTATGGGAAAAATTGTACCATAACTTCTCAGAAAGATGGTCATACCAATTTTCCCAATCAGTGTGCGTGTCAGTATCATGGTGTATCTCAGTGGGTAGCAGATGGCAATGTAGCGGTCAAAGGCCATCACCAGCAGGATTCCTGACTCAGAGATGAAAGTGGAATGGATGAAGAAGAGCTGAGTGATGCAGCGATTGAGGGAGATTTCCCCAGCGTGGAACCAGAAGATGGCCAAGGCCTGTGGTACCGTGCATGTGGCGAGAACAACATCAGCTCCAGACAGCATGCAAAGGAAGAGGTACATGGGCTCATGGAGGCTACGTCTTGAGAGGATAACGAAGATGAGCAGGCTGTTCCCAAGGAGGGCGGTGGCATAGGATATGAAGAAGGGGATGGAAATCCACATGTGTTGATTCTCAAGGCCCGGGATGCCCAGCAAGTGGAACATAGTGTAGCTAACACTAGTGTGGTTTAAGGTAGTCATACCTGGAGCAAATGACCTAGGATATCACGTTCTGTTTGCAGAAATTACTAAAATTTCTAATATATTCAGAAATTCAAATTGTACTCAAAGCTTCTGGCACAGTCTAATTCTTTTCCACAATTGCTGTGTGTATCTATATCTATATCTATATCTATATCTATATCTATCTATCTATCTATCTATCTATCTATCTATCTATCTATCTATCTTTTGAGTCCACTGGGTGGTATTCAGGGCCTATCCCTGGCTTTGACCCAGGGATGACTCTTGGTGAAGCTTGGATTGAACCCAGATCAGCTACACATAAAACAAGCACCCTACATGCTGTACTATCATTCTGGCCCTGAAGTAGCAATCTTAACAGAGATAATGGATATTAACATAGTTAATAAAAACAGCATGTTAAGTGAAAACATTAGTGGTTAAAAATATACAAGAGAGACAGCACATGGATTAAGGTGCTTGCTTTGCATGTGGTTGACATCAATTTGATCCCTGGAACCACATAGGTTTCTCCAACACTGCCAGAGGCGATCCTTTTGAATATAACAAGTACTAAGTCCCAAGTCCTGCAGGGTGTGACCCCCAAACAAAAAATAGTGTACTCTGAAAAACCGGTGCAAGAGGTAATTTAGTCTACTTAATTACTGAAATCATTAGATGGAAATGAATCAGGTAGAAAATGGAATAAAGGCTTTTCAGAGTTTATGATAAATTTCTCTAAAATATCTGACGGTTTAAAACAGTGTATAGACTTGTATAGTTATGTAATTATACTGGGCAATAACAAAAAGAAACAATAGTATTTTACACTAATTACAAATTAAGATTGTCAATTTAAGAAAAGAAAGTCAACTACCATAAGTTTTTGAACTGGGTAACATTAGATGTATTTTGCTGAAGGTAGTTGAATAATGGATTGCAAGTAAAAATAATCTATGAAGAAAGTTTACTGTTTATTAGAAGAAAACAATGTATTGATGTAATATTCTCATACTGAAATAGGATTAATAAAGAAAATCTTAAAACACCTACTTTATGCCAGGAATTGATATAAAAGTATTTCTCATGGCAATTAATTTCTTATTAGTTACTTGTAATGATTACAGGAATGTAGATATTATTATCTTCATCTTATTTTCAAAAATAAAAGTGGAAACATATAGAACTTGACAAAATTATATGTTGGATTTGAAGTTTCTCTAACTATAAATAAATAATTTTCTGGTATGTCAAATGAGTCAAGAGACAAAGATTATACTGAATAGAGGAAAATTGACAAGCTCTGTGACTAGTAAAGACCTCTATGACCTAAAATTTTTACCTCTCTATGTAAAACATTTAATACCATAAAAGCTTTGATATAATAATTATTGAAATCTCAGCAGTTTTATTATTTTTGCACCCTATTCTATTTACTGTCAACTACCAGTAGTAAAATTTTGGTAAATTTATTAAAAAACAAAATAACAAAAACAACAACAACAACAACAAAACTGTTCATCAGGGGAAGCTGGATCCTAAAAAAAGATTCTACTTTCCACAGTACTAGAGAGAGGAACTCAGTTGCTAACAAAAAAAAGTGAGTGAATTTAACCTACATAACTGGTAGAGACAACTGAGTCAGAGTTTGATTATCTAAAAGAAACTTAGATGGTTAGTTTGAGGGTTCATTTCTACTACAAAGTACTGAGTAGCATTAAAGAGGAAAATAATGCCTTTTCAATCTCAGAGCCTATCATTATGTCAATGATTTTCAAATGGAGGAAATATTTCCCCACCTCCTCCCAGGTACATTAAAAACTGCATGAAGTCATCATACGGGGGAGTTCCTACTGACAGCTAATGGACACAGGCCAAGATGCTGCTAAGAAGTCAGTATAAAAGATAACCCCCACAAGGACACATCTTGCTCCAAATGTTAACAGTGCCATGGTTGAGATTCTATTCTAGGTCTCTCCCATATCTTCTTTGACTTGGTATTGATTTTAATAATCCCATTCTCTTTTTCAGGAAGTGAACTTGGTACAGAAATTAGGCAATCAGAAATTCAGAAGTAGGAAAAGGTTTGAGTATCCAAGGAATGGCAAGGCACAGATAAAGAACTGTGAGCGTTTCTGGATTTATTTCATGTTTGAGTCAGGATTTAGTGATGTTAAGTAAGTAAATAGAATTTTTAGTTTCTTTCTCTACTAGTTCAATTCTGCTTTTATGAATCCTTCAATATCTATCTCCTATTATCAAAACAGAATCCATCTTTTCCTATTATCTAGTTCTTCAGATAAAGGTTGGGACTGTATTAATAATAAAATCATATGCCAGAGAACCAGAAGAGACTGGTGTTGGGGCATAAGAATTTGGATGGGAACAGGAACGAGGATAGTCCTACTATGGGTATCAGCTACCACAAGGTCAGCTACACACAAGCACCGTGGGAAGGTATAGCTTTCCCTGAGGAAAGCTATCTTCCTGAAGAAGGTCAAAGAAACTAAAATATAAGGGAAAATGTCATAGGGAGGTTGAAGACCAACTTTATTTATTTTTTAAAAATTTAATTATTGATTTTTGAAAGCCAACTTTATATAATGCATTTCTGAAAAAAATAGGAAAACGAGATGATGATAAAGCAAATTTTCTCTCCCCCCCTTTCTGTATTCTCCCACTCAATCTGTGCTGTCACAATAAGACAGGCAGAAAGCCCAAGGACACTTTTTTCTTGCACCTGTAGTGAAAACCTTGGCAGGAAATAAGTACCTATAGAAGGTCTGTCAAATCAATGTATAAAGCAAAAGTAATTCGAAAGGAAAAAAGAAAGAGGAGCTGAAAAAGGACCTTCTCCCACATGCTGATGAATGTCAAATGCATTATGGACAGCAAAGAAGAGTTTTCTTCTGGGAAATGGGAAGAAGAGGACAGGGGACTCTAAAGTCAGGATTTTCTATGGGAGAAATTGCCTAAACTATCACAGCTCTTTGTTTAATTTAGAGATAGAAAAAGAACTATCAATACTTTCTGAAAGTTTCCTCCAGAAGGATAATAAAATCAGATATGTTCAGCATCCTGGAGAAATTCCCTTCTTCCTTCTGCTTTGTGCTGCTCTAAGAGGAGCTTCTATTCAGGGTAAATGCATCACATTCTATACATTCACCAGGCTAGCAATTCACTGGAACGATCTGTCTCTCCCAAAGTTACCTACTTACTCTATTATAGGAACTTAACAATTGAAATTCCCATTTTATTTACTGTGATTTTTAGAGCCTTGAAACTTCTTTTCATCTGTGCATTTACTCATTTAGCATACAAAAATATGACAGAAGTATAAAGAAGCGCAGGATGTTTACAGTAGTCAGGTCCTGGTGTCAAGTAGACTCAGGGATGCAAAAGAGCCTTTGGTGAACCAGACTAGAAAGGCTTCCAGAGGTCCCTATTCTCAGCTCCCTGTAACCACTTGCCATCCTATTAAGACCACATTTGTGACTTTGATCTTCACTCTGTTTACTTAATACCGAACACAAGGCTCAATGTTCTTTACCTGGGACTCCTTATCCCTCTAGTCTGCATGGGTTAAAATTTATCCCGTAAATAAGTGAGTCACCTGTTCAAAAGACAATCTTCACAGTGTAGAATGTGCTGAATCAAAGTGTATTCTGGGCATTGACGCCTAGGAGCAAATGCTTTTATGCATTTGTCTGAGACTCCTGAGGAAGCCTCTACCCCAGGGAATCTGGATTTAGAACTTTACTGCCTGCAATACCCCCTCCATTCAATACATATGAATCAAGTTATGGTTTTCCATGCTACTAAGAATCCCCTCCCTGACAATCCCATTCTTGGATTTGCTGTGAATGTGTCTCAATGACAAGAAATAAGTATATTAGTGTTATTACTCCACATATTTATTTTCCTTTTAATGAGTATTAGTATATATGAATCCTCCTTTTCCCCCTAGCCAATCCTTAATTGCTTTTTATTTCATAGAACTTATTTTCTTTCTTCTTTTAAAATAATTTTTATTTAAGACACTTTGATTTACAGCACTTTTAATGATAAAGTTTCATTCATACAACATTCTAACACCACATGATCTATCAGTGAATCCTCTTCACCATTATCTCACGGTTCCCTTCTCCCTCCTCCCATCTGTCCACTGTGGTGGGCTCAGTTCTATAGAGCAGTTCTCACATTTATTTGTCTTTGACCATATTTTGTTTCCTTAATCATGTTTCTTTCCCCTCCACATATGAGAGAGAACCTTCTGAGTCTGTTTGCCTTTGAAATAGCTTTACTCAGTATAAAACTCTCCAGATCCATCCATGTAGTGGAAAATTGCATGATTTTGTCTTTTTTCTGTGTGTCACACATGGCATTGCTCAGGACTAATCCTGCCTATATGCTCAGGATTCTCTCCTTGTGGGTTTAAGGGAGACCATATGTGGCTCAACATATCAGTCATGTGTGAGGCAAATGCCTTATTTGCTGTCTTATCTCTCTGGCCCCAACACATGATTCTTACATATATTGCTGGATTTGGCTCACTAAAACTTTCTTGAGAATTTTTTCATGCTCCACCCCATTTTAATTGAGGTACTGTGATGTTTTATTGAGGTACTGTTAATAAATGCACATACTGTTCCAAACACCACACCTCCCCATCAAAGTGTCTACTTTCTTGCACTAATGTCGCAAAGCCTTCCCTTCCTATCTTAGATAGACCCAGTTCTGAGTACAAAATCTTCTGCTGTATTTTGTTTTTCTGTGGCTGTTTGTTGCACCCTTATATTATGTTTTTTTTAAAATTTAATTGTTTATTGAATCACTGTGAAATTCATTTACAAAGCTTTCATGATTGGGTTTTAGTCATACAATGTTCCAACACTTATTCCTCGACCAGTGTATATTTCCCACCACCAATATCCCCTGTATCCCTCCTGCCACTCCCGATTCCACTCCAGCCTCCTCCTCCTCGTCCTCCTCTTCCTCTTCCTCAGTCTTCTTCTTCTTCTTCTTCTTCTTCTTCTTCTTCTTCTTCTTCTTCTTCTTCTTCTTCTTCTTCTTCTTCTTCTTCTTCTTCTTCTTCTTCTTCTTCTCCTTCTTCTTCTTCTCCTCTTCCTCCTCCTCCTCCACTTCCTCCTCCTCCTCCTCCTCCTCCTCCTCTCTCGGCATTATGGTTGGCAAAACAGGTACTGAGAGGCCATCATGTTTGGTCCTCTACCCACTTTGAGCACATCCAGAGTGATTTCTTCCAACCATCATTGTTATAAGGTTCCCTTCTTTATGCCAACTGTCCTCTCCCTTACCCTCCCTTACCACAGGCTTTCAACTGTGGACCATTTGTCCTGGTCCTTATATATACTGTCCTTTGGTGTTAGTCTCATACTATGTTTTTCTTTGTTCTGTTTTGTTTTTATATCTCACAAACATGTGTAGTCATTCTATGTCTATTCCTTTTTCTGACTTATTTCACTCAGCATGACACTCCATGTCTGTCCATTTATAAGCAAATTTTATGGCTTATTTTTTTCTGACATAGCTGTATAGTATTCCATTGTGTAGATGTACCATAGTTTCTATAACCAGTCAACTGTTCTTCTGCACTCGGGTTGTTTCCAGATTCTGGCTATTGTGAATAGTGCTCTAATGAAATATAAAGGCAGATGTCATTTCTGCTATGTGATTTTGCAGCCCCGGGATATAGTCTCAGAAGTGGTATTGCTGGGTCATACAGAAGCTCAATTTCTAGTTTTTATAGGAATTCCCATATTGTTTTTCAAAAAGGCTGGATTGGTTGGCATTCCCACAAATAATGAAGACAAGTCCCTTTCTCCCTGCATCCACACCAGCACTAGTTGTTCTTTTTCTATATGTTCCAGTCTCTGTGGTATAAAGTGATAGCTCCCTTATATTCTGACCTATGAAAAAGATCATTTTGTATTTTCCTTATTCTGGCTGGTTTCGCTCAGCATGATACTCTCTAGTTCGATCCACAAAGTGGTAAATTGAATGCTATAATATTTTCTTATAGCTGCATAGTATTCTATTGTGTATATATACCACAGATTCTCTATTTTTGATCTATTCATCTGTAGTTGGATACCTGGGTTCTTTCCATATTCTGGAAACTTGAAGTAAGTGCTTCAGTGAACATAGGTATGCAAATATACTTGTTTTTAACCCCCAAAATATTTTTTATTTAAAATTAAAAAAAATTTATTAGTGAAACACCATGAGGTACAGTTGTAGAGTTACAAATTTTTGTGCGTGGGTTTGAGTTATGCAATGATCCAGTACCCATCCCTCCACCAGTGCCCATTCTCCATCATTTACATTTGTTTTTTATATTTTTGTTAGTGAAACACCATGAGGTACAGTTGTAGATTTACAAATTTTTGTGGTTGGGTTTCAGTTGTACAATGATCAGACACCCATCCCTCCACTAGTGCTCATTTTCCACCACCCCGGGTGCCGGTATCCCTCCCATCATCCCCCCCCATCCCACCCTGCCTCTATAGCAGTAATTCCCTTTTGTTCTCTCTCCTTTTGTGTGTTGTGGTTTGCAAAAGTGGCATTGAGTGGCAATCATGTTTGGTCTATAGTCTACTTTCAGCATGCTTCTCCCATCCTGGGAGGATCCTCCCAACACCCTTTATTTGGTGTTCCTTTCTCTATCTGAGCTCCCTTTTCCCCTAGAGTGTTTGGCTGGCCTCCAAGCCATGGAACAAAACTACTGGTACTAATCTCGTCCGCTCTTGGGTATTAGTCTCCTATTTTGTTACTTTATGTTCCCCAGATGAATGCAATCTTTCTATGTCTATCCCTTTCTTTCTGACTCATTTTGCTTAACATGATACTTTCTATGTAGTACCACTTGTATGTAAATTTCATGACTTCATCTTTTATAACAGCTACATAGTACTCCATTGTGTAGATGTACCAAAGTTTCTTTAACCAGTCGTTTGTTCTTGGGCACTCAGGTTTTTTCCATATTCTGGCTATTGTAAAGAGTGCTGCAATGAACAAACAAGTGCAGATGTCACTTCGACTATACTTTTTTGCCTCTCTGGGATATATTCCCAGGAGTGGTATTGCTGGGTCAAATGGGACCTCAATTTCTAATTTTTTGAGAATCGTCCATACTGTTTTCCAGAAGGGCTGAACCAGTCCGCATTCCCACAAGCAGTGAAGGAGGGTCCCTTTCTCGCCACATCCGCGCCAGCACCAATTGCTTTTGTTCTTTTGGATGTGGGCCAGTCTCTGTGGTGTGAGATGATATCTCATTGTTGTTTTGATCTGCATCTCCCTGATGATTAGCGATGAGGAGCATTTTCTCATGTGCCTTTTAGCCATTCGTATTTCTTCTTTGAGAAAGTTTCTGTTCATTTCGTTGTCTCATTTTTTTATGGGGTTGGATGTATTCTTCTTGTGGAGTTCAACCAGTACTTTTTTTTATTGGCAAAAAGGGACCCCGGTGAGGACAGCCAGGTGAGGGGGCAGGAGACTCTGCACTGTTCTCCTCCGGGAGCTGGGTTTGATAGTCTCTGCGTCTTGACCATTGATGGGACCAACCTGGCGCTGGTGGCAGCTGGTGGTTTGACGCCTACCTACTGGAAGATGGGGGATCTGGGTGGAGAAGGCCCAGTCCCAATCCAAGTAGGCTTGGAGACCTCAGCCCCGGGACCCACATGCGTGGGTTCCTCTGTCAGATTTTTTATGCATGAGGCCCGTTCGGACGTGTGGAGAGTGGTCCCAGCATGGCCGTGGCTAGCTCCGGAGGTCCTCAGCTGC